TCGCCGAATACGCACTGCTTCAGTAAAATTCCTCACGTAATACCGAGATCGCAATGCCTTGCAAAAAACTAGCGTTAGTTTAAGGTAATATGGAAGGAGTTCTGTAGCAGTACGCAGGAGGTGATGCAATCGGCAGAGTTCATTGAGCAGAAGGCGAACGATCTCATCGCATGCCGGCAAGCACAGTACAATGTTCGTGTTCATATACTCCTAATAAAGACACTGGAACGATTGGCCGATGAAATTGCAAACAAGCCTGAGAAGTTGGACTCGTTCTGGTGAGTTCCTGGTTCGTTTTTGTTGTTTTTTGTAATCGATCGGGTACAACGGGAACGGAATCCTTGTCACACTAAGGTGCTACTTATTGACAGATACGTAACTGTTATTGCGTGAACTTTATTCTCGCTATATGTGGCTGCAAACAGTGATTTTGCCCCGATGCACAATTGATTTAAGTACAAAGAACTGCAGAGTAGGGGGTGAAAAATTGGGAAATGGAGAAAGAGGGGATGAATTGCTAAAATTTTGATCAGTTCGATTGGTCCTAAATCGTTTTTTTTGCGCTATAGGAACATGGAAGATTTTACAGAAATGAAATTTACTGTCGTTGACCGCTAAATGACTGCAGTAAACAGATGTTTGTAGGTTGCGTGCTTTTACGGACACGATTGCTGATGCGGTGATATGGTACAACAGGGCAAATAATATCGATGGGAAGGTTAGAATATCCTCTCACAGATGCACTTTTTCATTTTTATTAAATGCTGTGACGTACGGGAGCTTCAGGTGTATCTCATTTGCCGCTTCATGCAATCCGTTGACATTGGGGTTTTAATATTTGTTGGAGCCTTTGTTTCGCTGCTAACTTTTTACTGGGGAAGTGAGACAACAATTTTTCACCACTTGAGGACAAAGTAAAGCAAAATAAATGAAGTTTCAGGTAGCCGAAGCATATTCTGCGTGCTTGAATTGTGCCGGGCGGTATGCAGAGGAGTGGCTCGTGCAGGACTTGAAAAGTGATTGCTGTTATACCGGGCAACTTCTTGGCATTATTACCCTTAATAATAGCATCGATTCGGCCGTTAGTCGCGTGATGACTGAAGTGATAAATGAAAGAATTGCAAAACCGAAGGGCAATTTGGGCGATTTTCTTGATGACGTCTATGCAACTGTGCAGAAGGTTGAGCCTTACTGCATTCGTTGCTTGTGTGCTCTAGCTAGAACTGAGCCAAAACAGAGCCGTTTTTCCGGCATCCTCAAATTTTCCATTCAACAAATTTACACAGAAAAGAAAAGTTATATATTTTTTATACAAATATGCGCGTTTTGATTGAAGAAGTTACTGTCTGATTTTGCAGCTTCGTGAAGAATGGTTGCAGAAATTGATCGAGTCGGGTGTGCCTACTGCAAGAATTTCACCGTTTTTGGACAAATGCCTTCTTACGTTCACCATTTCGATACTAGATCAGGTTTCTTTCATCCATTTGGCATTTATCAGTCACTTTTTTTAACTAGATCGCGTTCGCTCCTAGCGCAATAGCATACGTGGCTGCTCGTTAATACCTTGGGAATTATTTGTTCTCGCTCTGGCATGGTTTTCAAATACTGGCTCATTTCAGCACTTCAGTCCGGTCGTGGTTCCAAGCGATAATCGCCTTTTCCATCGCTGCTACAAAACAACCTGCGATTTCATCATGAATTGGCCAGATGCGGCTAGTTCAAGGACTGTTTTGCGAATGATCCGTGACAAATTCAGTTTGGTGGTCTATTTCAAATTGGAAACGCAGCATTTTCTGTCTGAGCTCAAGGAACAGCTGCTCAGTCCTTCCAGCATGAAGATGGTTGCGAATGAGAAAACTGATAGATGGGGAGAAAAAATTTTTTTTGAATGTTCGAAGACAGTGATCGATGCGCTGGAGAGGGTTTGGTCCGAGGAAGTGTACCTACCATCACTCATCGACAAGTCCTGGGATTTCACGCTCGAAGTGCTCTTTAAATATGTGCAGTGGATTGATGCCATTAAGAAGTTAGCATTTTGACATTTCTCATTTCTGATAATGCCGAAATATGGTCATACAAAAATTAGAAAAAAAAAGCAGTTTAGTGGGCGAGGAGCGCGTTAAAATGTACTTTTAGCGGTTGCATACCGGAGTTTTACCACGCATGAAACCAAAAAGAGACTATCGGTTCTGAAGGTAAATGACCAGTGCTCCGGTTCTGAGCTGCATACATCCAATGAGCACACCCTTCTGTTTGCTGTATGTGCGTCATCTCTTCGGAGGCTGCCTGAGTGGTCATTTGCTTTCTTGCCGGTATCACTCGCTAATGCACGATGCCCATCCACTGCCACTGTGACGGGCAGCATACCTTCGTATTTTAGTTTTTCACTTCGTTGCACTGATATCTTGGAAGCCGCTGTTTGCCGCATTGCTGTCTGCGCCAGCATTTCTCGTATTTGCATTTGCGGAGGTCAGATTTCGAAAAATGTGCTACTGACTTTAGGTACTACCGGACTGAAAAACGGGTACCCGAAGGACTTGAGACTTGGCGCTTTTTCTGTGCGCTGTGCACCGACTGCGCTACCGTGGATGCACGGGCTTTTGGAATTGCACTGTCGCCAATTTGGAGTAAAATCCGCGAGTTCGAGGTGTGCATGTTTGCTTCAAAAT